AAAAAAAAAAAAAAAAAACGAGCCACCCATTTGTTCATTATGGTTCAAATCAGCCGAACTCGAACTTGTATAATGCTTGTTTATTTAACAAGTTGAGTCGAGCTCGACTGTTTTTGACTCATTTGGCTTAATAAATATGAATTACAAAATTTTGTAAAATTTAGCGTAACATATTTTGTTGGTTAAAGCTTTTGTTTGACTTGTTAACGAGTCAAGCTCAAACTTATTTATCACTCGTTAATTATTAATTTTTTTTTTATAAAATTTAGCGTAATATATTTTGTTTGTTGAAGTTTCTGTTTGGCTCGGTAATGAGTCAAGTTCATTGGTTCGTTAATTTAATGAGCGGAATTCGATTCAGCTCGATAAGGGCTCGAGCTAGAGGTTGAGTATCATGAGCTCGAGTTCGGTTCTCGTTTACAGCTCTGTTCGTATGCACATAAATGACAAAACTGAAAACTTATTGCAGTTCTTCTATTGGACCGGGTAATGATTATATAACTATATTATTTTAATAAATATATCCACTTTCACGTCAAATATTTTTATACTTTAAACTAGTTTATAAATATTTGCAAAAAAAAAGAACTAGTTTATAAATAAAAGTATGAAATTTATTAATACAATACTTTTTATTATAAAACACAAACGTTTAACAATTAAACATTATAACAACATTTGTGATAAAAGAGATCATCATCACTCTCTCACTAAGTTCCAATGTATGTGATGAGAATAGAAAGGTCTATTGTAGATCAAATTTGAGCTTACGTTGTGTACATATTGGAGTCCATAATCTTGATTGGAAGTGTAAGAGTCGAGCAGACTTCCATTTTAAAGTTTTCTAATCCAAATTCGGTTTTAACGAATTGAATTACAAAAAATAATATAAAATTTCTTATATAACGAGACGAGATTGAACTTGACTTAATAATCGAACGAGTCGAGTTTACGAGCATCTCGTTTCGTTTGACAATTCTAATCTTAATTAATATAAATCACGTTGAATTTATTAATTGAAGCTAAAAATTAAATAAGTAACTCTGACTTCACTTCCTATCGTTTCGAAAAAAAAAAAACCCTGATTTCACTTGAGAGCATTAAGGTAATTTATGAAGAACTTTTAATTAAGGGAAAACAACGATTAAAGAACTTCAATATTATAATATGTCGAATAATGACATTGCACAATATTAAAATTTCCATAAAATCCAAAAATGGAAAATTATTTCTCATAATTTTAATAATATTAACGAGTACGAAAATTCTTGTTAGCAAAAAAGGTTAAGAATGGCGTATATACATGTCAGGACATATCCACACGTTTCATTAATTAAAAAATATAAATATAAATATAAATAAAAAAAATATACATGCTTAAATAACTATATAAAAATATAGTCAGAGATAATGAAATTAATACGTTTATCTTTTAATATTCTAAGAAAGAAAAAGTCAAATGAAATTGACCACCCCACATACAACTGGCCTATTGGTACGGGATTGGAGAATCACGATCCAACACGTTCATCGGGAAACTAATTTTGCGACAGATCACATGGCAAGCCTTGCGGCTCAAGTGTCGGTCGATTTTCATCGGATTTCGTGTCCCCCTACTATTTTGGGTGGTTGGCTTCAACATGATCTCATTGGGGTCTCTTACTCCGGACGTGTTCTAGCATAAGAGTCATTTTTTATGCCTTTGACCTCTTTTATTTTATATTTGTACCAAAAAAATAATGTCTTTTTTTTTAGTTATTATTATGGGGACTGAATGAAATCTACCCAATCTTTTGGAAATCAAATCTATATATCGGGTCCACGCTATTTATTAAATAAAAATTGATGACTATATTTAATCAATTCTGTGGGCTGCACAAAACTGCTTTTAATTTTAAAAGAATACCAGGTTTCATTTTCCCAAGGCTGAATCTGAAATGTAATCAAGATGTTTTATTAGGCCCAACGAACAGATATGTATAGGTGGCATTGGCCAATTTTGAATTTTTTTAGGCGAAAACGAGAAGCAATAGATGGGCTGGTGGGTTCGGGCCCAACTTGAAATCGACCCGACCCGAACCGACCCGACCCATTGGATCTGGTGTCTTATTCGGTTGCGAATTCGACCCGATATCAACGGGTTGACTTGATAATTTGGTCTTTGTGTCCGTTGTAAGATAGTCGACAAAACTCATTCGTCCCACTGAGGCTGAGCTAACGAGCCAGACCCAAAACTGACTGGTCGACGTGAAAGCCGTTATTTTTTATTTTTTCAAAAATCACTTAGAGCACCCACAATGTTTTGGGTCTCTTTTTGCATATGTGGCAAATAAATAGACTTAAGTCCATAATGACATGGACAAACCCAAGCTAAAAAATCCAAAATTTATCCAATGCAAAACAAAAAAGTACTAGGTCTAGAATACTAAACAACCAATAAAAATGTAGTAATAATAAATGCATACAAAAAAAAAATGTGTTTTGCCTATTAAAAAGAAAAAGAAAATTGTGAACAATTAATGACTAGGTGGGTTTGCACTTGGGTCCAAAATAGACCCAATTGTGGACTTAGTTTTTTTTTTTTCTAGTGCCACATAAGTTAGACTAGGTCCACTTTTTCAATTGCATTGTGAAACATTTTTTTATAAACTAGGTCTATTTCCTACATGGCATGTGATTTTTTTCTAAAAGACCAAAAGCATTGTGGGTGCTCTTAGACACGCTGGGTCAGCTCGGAACATGATCTGACTCCGTTCGCCCGAGATGATTCCTCAAATTATGAACTGTCGATCCATCGGGCTGGGCTCGGAGCCGATGGGTCGGGCCTGTTGACCATGTCTATTGGTAGGCAGGTTGACTCGTTATAGTTGTAATCAAAATGTATACTTATATAAAACATTATATATATATAAGTGTGTGTGTGTGTGTGTGTGTGTGTATTATCTATTTTTAAGTAAGTAATTTAAAAAATATGACTACTTGAAAGATAAATAAGTATGTTAACATTAGGTCTTTTAAGACCAATCTTACCATTTAGTGAATGATGCAAGTAAAAAAATCATGCAATCAATAATTGAATATATAAACAAAAACCCTCATCACAAGAAGAGTTGTTCAACTAAGACATTTTAATTTTCTAAAACATTAATATAATTTTAATTCCCATGTTTATTTTATTATTCTTACATAATAAGCTGTGGGCTGGATTTGTTAGCCTCAAATACATTATATTATGTTAAAACGGTGTTTTTGGACTGGCTTCCACTCCCCAAGTTGCAATTAATTATGTCAATTTAAAATATATACTGCTGTTTGTGGGGTTGGGGCATTTTAACTATCAAGTATCACTCACAAACAAAATACTTGCACATATTATATAGCTTTGGCTTTTGACTTTAACCCAAAA